TGTGTATGTGTGTGTCTGTCCCTCCCCTGCTTGCACTCTGTCTCTCTCTCTCAAAAATAAACATTTTAAAAAGTTAAAAAAAATACAAAAATCTCTCTATAACCACTGCCCAAAACAAGACTTGAAACATTTTCATCACCCTAGAAAATTCCCTCCTACCTCCTCCTAATCAATCCCCCACCGTCCAGCCCTCCAGGAGGCAACTCCTTTCTGACTTCTCTTGCCATACATGAGTGCTGCCTGTTTTTGTACTGTAAATACATGGGACTGAACAGTACGGCTTTCTTAGACCATCTATTACTTAGTTCAGTTCTTCTCTTTAAAATAAGGAGGCAGTGCAGGTGCAGCAAGATCATTGGGCTGGGATGATTTTGTTGCAGAAGAAGGAACTAGATTTGGATCCAACGGACTCAGGACCTAGTCACAGTCCTGTCCCTAAGTGCTGTGGGGGGAGGGGATGTGTAGGCGTCCCTTTCACCCAAGTCTCTACTGTGAGATGTGAGTGTTGAACTAAACCACGTGTAAAGTGCCTCCTGAGTCTAAAACTCCATGATTCTAAAGTAGAACTTACAAACCCAAATGAAGACTGCCCACTTCAAAGTCCTCGCCCAAAGAAACTACGCCCTTAGTTCAATGTGTTGCTAAGAAACAACCAGTATCTGTTAGAACTCCTTTCTGGATACTGTCTTTGGAGATAGTTCTCAGCAACCCTGCCCTTTCTCATCAAGTGCAGGCAGTCCGTTCATATTGAATGACACCCTCCCCACCGGTGCCCCAGCTAATGGGACCGAGGGGAACACTCAGCCTCAGCTGGACCAATCCAGTTCTTTCTCTTAAATTTAAAGACACGGGTTAAGGAAGTTGGATCACAACGGGCCCTGGATCAGAAATGTTGCAGTCAGCCTCACAGCAGGGACCCTGCCAAGCCAAAGCCACCAGCAAGTCAAAGATACCACGAAGCAAAAACCAAGAGCTTTCAGAGGAAGCTGTTCTGCAGGAAGAATCCGGAAATGTGCAGTAGATAAGCAGAGGCCACAAACTAGAAACCACAAAGTCCCAAAAAGAGATGGAAAAAGCCTGATGATTTCCCAGATTCCACGGCTCCAACTCCTACACTCGGGGTGCCTGAAATTCCCCTGGATCCTGCCAAAAAAACTCCTTTCAATGGAACTGGACTGCTTTTCTGTTCATTGCAATGAAAAAGCCTAAGGCTAAGTTTGACCCCAAGCTTTGAAGGAACTCTAAATGGAGGCCCAAGCAGACAGCAGCATGACAGGCTTAAGCTAACGGCACTGAGGGGCACCTGGGTGGCTCAGTCGGTTAAGCATCTGACTTTGGCTCAGGTCGTGATCTCACGGTTCCTGACTTTATGCCCTACGTCGGGCTCTGTGCCAACAGCTCAGAGCCTGCTTGGGATTCTCCCTCTCCCCATCTCTGTCGGCCCTCCCCCACTCACTCTCTGTCTCTCTCAAAATAAGTAAAGAAACTTAAAAAACAAAACAAAACAGATAATGGCACTGAGCAGGTCCTCAATTAACACTGGCTGAATTAATGAAGAGTGAAACCCACTTAGGTAAGTCTGATGTGTTTAAAAAAGACCAGTGATACGGTGACATGTATGTGACAGTTGTACGTAACAGTTAATAGGTAGACAGCCTCTTTATAGCCGATCACTCAGTTCTATGCCATTTCTACAGCTGATGCTCAAAGAACCCTGTAAATCATCCCTTCTTTACACAGATGAGGCAAGTGAAGTTCAGACCGGTTGAGAAGCTTGTCTTCCACACAGCTCCTTCCCACGCCTCCCTGCCCTCCCAAAAAAGAGAGAAATCGTATTAGAATTGGATCTCACGGCTGAGTCTTATGACTTCAAAGTTAGTTCTTTTCCCTCTACATCGTACTTCTTTGATGCTGATGACGTTAGCTAACAACTGCATGGTGCAAAGGTAGTATTCTGAGGGCTTTACCTGTATTAATTCATTTAATCCACAAAGCCACCCTGTGTGGCGTATTATTATCCCCATTTAAGAGACAATAGAGGCACCGTGAAATTAAGTACCATGCTCAATGTGACACGGCTAACCTTAATAATTAGATCCCAGGTAGTCTGGTGCTGTTTGAAGGCCATGTGAAAAGCAGACAGTGCTGTACGTGGCCCACAGCAGGTGTCTGGA